ACTGTGGCTTAGCATTCCTGGCTCAGGCAGACCAGTAGGTGTAAGAACCTAGCTCGGCATGACCTGTGCTCCCTCTTGGTCTCTAGTTTCACTTGTGGGCTAAGGTTTGCTCAGTCCTGCCCTGTCCACCCTGTTCCATTACCAATTGACACATTACCCAGCTGTTGGAGCTACTTTGCCCAGCTTGTCCGACCCCCAGGTCTGGACCACATGTTCACCAGTGGGAGCTATGACTCTCCAAGGGAGTTTCCCAAGTTTTTCCACTTAATCCACTCCCAGACCCAGTTCTCATACATGCCATTGGATTTAGGCCAGGTTCCGGCGAAGTCTGGCCTTTTATTTGGCCTTGTATGAGCTGGTGAATGTTGCAGCACGGCCCATTCCACACCCTGTTTAGGATGCACATTCGGGTGCTGCTGCCTTGTCCAGTCCAGACTGTTGGGGGTTCCTTTACCTGTGATTCATGGCAGGCTCCTTGGTCACCCCAACTCTTGAGCTAACCAGTGGGGCTAGAATTTGCACAGGGTTTGGCCCACACGTCCCTCACAGAATCTGCCCCGGTTATGGTTCTAGTGCTAGTTAATGTAATGGTCCTGCTTAATGTGACCCTTCTCCTGATCCATCATCATGTCAGGTAACAGGATATGATTCTGCTGGACAAGCCCCGAGCCATAGTTTTTGCATGGACTGGTATTTGGTGGTCAGCACTGTTCAGTGATTACAAGTTTTTCAAAGGAAGAGTTACTGTCATTGGGAATCTTTACGATTGCTTCATGTCCTAGAAGCACAGTGGGTTCAACTTGGAGCTACCTAAGCAGCAATTCAAAGAAGCAAAACCCCAGAGCTCCCTGGTTGGGCGGCCAGCAGGCGGAGCCTGGCACCAAGTGGCGCACTGGCCGCCCAGGGACAGCTCACCACGTGCACATGGTGGCTGTCGTCTGGGATTCAGCCATGAGACTCCCTGTCCTGAGACCCCTCTACCTTTAATTTTTTTAAAAAGATTTATTTTTAGTGGAAAAGCAGATTAGATTTATGGACAGGATAAGCATATCTTACATCTGGTGGTTCACTCCCCAAATGGCCATAACTTCTAGAGCTGAGCTGATCCAAAGCCAGGAGCTTTTCCTAGGTCTCTCATGTGGGTGCAGGGTCCCAAGGCTTTGGGCTGTCCTCGATTGCTTTCCTGGGCCACAAGCAAAGAGCTGGATGGGAAGTGGAACAGCTGGGATGTGAACCAGGGCCCATATGGGATCCCAGTGTTTGCAAGGTAAGGATTTAGCCACTGAGTCATTGCACTAATTCATCAGTTAAAAGCATTTGCCTGGGAGAAGGGGCGCCTCATTTCTCATGGAAACTACAGTGGACCAATGTGGCTTTTGGTGGCTTCTATTTAGAACACTTCCTCTGTGTTGTTTTTGAGTTTAACTCAGCTGACAGTAGGAGAACCTGTACCCATGGCCTTGGGAGAGCCCTGCCCAGCATGCCCCTGCCCAGAATGCCCCTGCCTGAGGGCCTGGGGTCCCAGGCTCGTAGTGCATGCCCGTGAGTGTGATGGGGAATGCACGTCCTTCCACTATGTAGTTCCCTGCTGACAGTTGGTGCTGAGCTCCCCACCAAGAGCAGCCATGCGAGGCGCTTGTGGTTTCAGCTGTGGGCGCCGAGCCTTCCCTGCAGGGCTCACGTCACTGCCTGCTCTGTTATCTCCTGGATCAGCCCCCAGGTCTTTGCTGTGCAGACTGTCTCCTGTTCAGGAGTGCCTAGATGGGAGCTGAGGACGCATCCGGAAGGTGAGTCTGCTGTGGGCTTCCTGCCATCTGCTCTGCACGGGACTTGAGGCGGCAGGAGCATCCTGTGGAGGGCTAGACAGCATCTGGATCTCACCTTGCCTGATGTCCCACCTTTGGGCATCTCAGAGATGGCGGGACTTTGAGTGTTGCTTGCAGGGCTGTGGGTGCGCTGTGGCCAGGGTGGCCTGCTCCATCCGGTCGCAGGGAGAGCACTGAGCCAGTGAGGTAGGCCCCGCCTCTCTCCATGACTTCGTGGGGACACCAGTGAACGGGTCTTCTTGGCTGTGACCAACATGAGGTGGAGCCCCTAGGCCCTGGCTATGGGCCAAGCCCCTCCGAGTCCCCAGGTGTCTGGGGGGCTTCACAGCAGAAGAGGAGCTGGGAGAAAGGACGTCATCCATTGGAGTTGTGGGTGGAAATCCAAAATGGAGAATCAACTCAGCCAGGCTGGGGCAGGAATGTCACCCTCTCAGGGACCCGGGGTCTGCTCCTGAGGGCTCCCCTCCCTGGCCCTGTTCCCTCTTCCTGTGACTCATGCAGTTGTGGGCCCAGACTCTGGCCCCAGCTTAGCCACAGGAGGTCAAGGGTAAGTATCCTCCCAGGCCCCCGTGGGAGCATTGACACCATTCAGAGGTAGGGTGCCCATTTAGGGAGGCTAGTGGGGTGGGGGCTGGGAAGGCAAGGAGTACAGCACCAGGCCGGCAGTGAGCCCCCAGCATCACCGGCTGCAAGGGTGCCTTTGTCGGGAAGTCTGGGGGCTGGGGGTGCAGTGTCAGGCAGGCAGTGACCCCCATTGTCATCAGCTGCAATGGGCGCCAGGAACAGCGGGACCTTGCCCTGTTTGACCCCTAGACTCCAGTCACCAGAGATGTGTGTCTACATTGTTATTCCAGCCCCTTGGCGCCTTCCTTGGTGCTGTCAATTCAGGCATTCTGAGGGGCGTGGTGGTGCGAAGGTGCCTGGGGCCGCTGCATGAAGGGAGAAGCCACCAGACTGAGAGGGCCATGTGGAAAGGCAGGTGTGTAGCAGAGTCGTTGGGGTCCTTGCTGAGGAGGGGAACCCTGCTCTGCTTTCCATCCTCCCTTCTATGAGCTTGTCCACTGGACACATCTATCTTACTGACCCGTCACCAGCTCCAGCCTGCATCCCCGGGGTGCTTGCAGACTGAGTACCCTTCCCTGGCAGTCACCTGCTCTGGCCTCATGCTGTGCTGGGTATCAGGTGAGTGGGTGACGGGCCCTGTGCCCTGGGTCTGTCAGAACCTGTGATCCCACACAGAGGTCCAAGGCCTCTTCCCCGGAGGAGGTGGGCAGCCCATGTGGCCAGGGTTGAAGTGCATGTCCATAACCCCTGGTGCGAGCAGAGTGGCTGGGCTCACAGCGGGATTGGGGGGCGTGCCGCAGGAAGTTGCTCCCCTCTCAGGGTGGCACAACGGTGACGTTGCCTGCTGCGCTCTGGTGACATCTGGATGGAGGCTCCTGATGTCGTCTGGTGTACCTCCCAGGGTGAGGGTGTGCACTGCCTGGCCCAGTGACTGCAGGCAGGTGCAGTGGTGACCCTGTTTGGTCCATACCTGAGGAGCCCTGCAGAAAAAGGGTGGCTTGGGTTCTGCCTATGCCTTCACCCCATTTAAAAAGATTAGTGATGTCTTCTTCAGGCACGGTATGTGAGTGGCCACGAATCAGGAGCCAGGACTGGGAGAGGTGCTTGTTTTTCTGGCAGGGGTGACTCTGCTCCTGCCAGCTGCTTGGTGTGGGCAGTGTGCTGTGCCAACGGGAAAGCAGGGACCTTGCCTCTGGCCACCTGTGCCCTGCAGTTGCACCCTGCTGCCTGGTGCTTTGCTGAGCTGTGTCCTTTCCCTTTCTTACCTAGACTGGGGGCGTGGGAGCCTGTAGCTACTTTCCTGTTCGTCCTTTGACCTTCTCGCCCCGTTCTGCACCCACGTGTTCCTCCTAGGCTGGGAGGGAGCTGCTGGGCCCGAGCTTGCCTGGGTTCTGGTTCCTGGTGCTCACTATCTGTCTTCAGGTTGCTTTCCTAGCCCCCTTCCTGGGGCCAGCTGAGCCCAGCCTGTCGTGCTGTGGTCGCATGCTCCATGCTGGGTCCTTATCGCCCATCGGGCTTGTATAGGCAGCTGACCCAGCTTCCTGCGTGGGGGTCATGCTGTGCCGTCCGGAGCTGCAGATGCGGTGATAGGCACTTCCTGAGACCCAGCCCTCTGTCCTCAGGCAGCCTCTGGCTCCCCAGGGGTGCCATGTCCTTGCTGATACTCCGCAGAACCCCTGGGAGCCCTGAAGAGGTTAGGGAGAGTACCTGCTGCAGGTGTCCCCTCCCTAGTCCCCAGGGAGATCCCTGGGATATCTTTGATGCAAGTGAACAGGATGGAGGTGTGTGGCTGTGTCCTCCTTGTTGAACAGGGTCAACCCACCCCACCTGCCATGAGCACTGAGCTAGCAAAAGTATGTGGAGCAGAAACCTGTGGGCTAGCAGGGGACATACTCATTCAATGTCCAGCACCCCCAAGAGCTGGCCCCAGGCAGGGGACGCTCATACCGCCCTCCTCTAAAGCAGCTCATTCAGTGTCCAGCCTGACTCCCCTGCCAGAACCTGGCCCTGGGCAGGGAGGAAGGTTGTCAGGAGATCCCTCACCCTGGCAGCCCACTTAGTGCCCAGCACCTGCCAGGAGTCTGCATTTGTGTGTATGCACTCTAGCCGCCGGTCTTTGGTCAGGTAAAATGGATTTTGTGAACTATGGTTCTTGAAAATGTTTTTTTTCATTTTTTGTTTTATTTGACATGTGCTTGACTCACTCACCCAGTATCGTTCCCAGCTGGGCTGGGAGCTCTGTCAGTGGGTTCTGTGAGTCACTGCAGCCTCTCAGGGTGTGAGCTGGAAGCTGGAGAGGAGGCAGGGCTGGGCCTTGATGGATGGATGGATGGATGGGTGGATGGATGGATGGATTTTGAATGATTGGTTTATTTTGAATGGAAAGGCAGATTTGCAGAGAGAAGGAAAGATCATCTATCCACTGGCTCACTCCCCAAGTGGCCACAACAGCTAGAGCTGAGCTGATCCAAAGCCAGGAGCTTCTTCTGGTTGTCCCACGCAGGTGCAGGGTTCCAAGGCTTTGGGCCGTTCTCTACTGCTTTTCTGGGCCACAAGCAGGGAGCTGGATGGGAAGTGGAACAGCTGGGACATGGACCGATGCCCATACGGGACTCCAGCACTTGCAAGGTGAGGATTTAGTCACTGAACCATCACACTGGGCCCAGGACTGGGCCTTCAATGTGGGGGTGTAATATGGATGTGGACCATGCCAAATATCTGCTCCTAAGCTGCTGCTTTTAAATCAAATCAGCAAAGCTTACATAGTGCCTGGGTGCTGGCCTCTTTTGAGAGCAACCCAGAGAACCCTTGGAGGGCCAGGACCTCAGGCAGGGCCCCTCCCAGAGTGCTGCCTCGCTTAGGTCTCTCACTACCCTGATCCTTAGCTCAGTCCCTTGCAGGTGCGACCTCGATGTGCAAGGCCCCGAGACCCGGCATGGGTGCCTGGCTTCTGACCTGTGCCTGCGTCTGCATCTGCTTGGACATCTCTGTGTGCAAAGCTGGAGGAGGTGAGGGCTGGCAGCACAGCTTCTGTGAGGTGACTTGGTGGAGACCCCCTTTGGAATAGCTGGGGTCAGCTTGGGCCTCCGTCCCACCGACCCTGCTCACCCTTCACATACCTTCCTGATGCCGCTCTGGGCCGGCCTGCCCAGCATGCCCAGGCTCACCTCTGGCCTCCCAGCCCTGTCCATGGCGATTCTCCTAATGGTGTTTCTAATGGTGTCTTGCTAGGGGGTCCACTGTCAGGTCCTCCCCACCATGACCCTCGGCTCTGCCCTGACACCCCTGCTGTGGGCTCCCAGCGGTCACTGTCCCTGGGACCAAGGGTCGGGACTTTGACCTGCCTCAACAACAACATTCTGAGGATTGACTGCCACTGGGCTGCCCCGGAGCTGGACCAGGGCTCCAGTCCCTGGCTGCTCTTCAGCAGGTGAGGGAGGAACTGGGCCTGCCAGGCTGGGAACAGACGCTGGAAGGGCTGGTGCTGGGGCAGTGCTGATGTTGGCTCTTTGCAGCAACCAGGAGCCTGGCAGCCAGCACAGGTGTGTGTTTCGGGGCAGCGTATGCACTGTGCTGCTGCCATCCTATGAGGTGCTAGTGCCTTCCGACAACTTTACCATCACTTTGCATCAGTGTGTGGCTGGGCAGGAGCAGGTCCGCCTGGTGGACCAGCAGTACCTGCCCCGGAAAAATGGTGAGCAGGGGTGCCTCGAGCCTAGGGTGGGGCCTCCTTGGGAAGGTACTGGCCCAGGACTCTGAGGCAGGGAGGCTGTAGCACCTGTTTGGGGGTCTCCAGGTAGGGCAGAAAGTGCAGCATGAGCTGTGGCAGGGACTGGGAGCAATTCTCTACCACCAGGTTGTGGTGAGGAGGGAAAGCAGGCCCTGAAGGAGTCAGGGCACCTCCCACCCCATCCTCTCTGAGGCTCTTGTGAGGCTGTCTGCACCAAGGCCTCTGGCTCGAGGGGGCCTTGACTGTGCTGCTCAGGAGACTCACTGAGGGCTTCGCATCATGGGTGGCCCTGTGTTCCAGTGAAGTTGGACCCGCCCTCCAACCTGCAAAGCAATATCAGTGCGGACTCCTGGGTCCTGACTTGGAGTCTGAATCTCGCTCTGGAGCCCATGGCGTCGCTTCTCACCTACGAGCTGGCGTTCAAGAGGCGGGAGCAGGCCTGGCAGGTAATGCCTGGCAGGCTGGAATGATGAGGAGGGAGATCTGAGCCAGGTGTGTCCATGCACAGCTGTGTACACACAGGTGTGTACACACAGCTGCGTTTCTATGTCTGCGTTTGTAACTAGTGGGTGTGGCTATGTGTGTGCATGTGAGTTTGTGGATGTGTGTTTGTGTATACATAGATGTGTGTTTGTGAGTGTGTGTGACTGGAGTGAGTGTGCCTGTGTTTGCACGTGTGGGCATGTGAGTATGCATGCTTGTATGCACACAAACATGTTGCTGTGAGTGTGTGCAAGTGTCTTTATGAGTGTCTGTGACTAGCGACTAATGCTGTGGGTCTGTGTGTCCGGGTCAATGAATGCATGTGTCCAGCACCCCTTCAGCTCCTGCTAACTGCCTCCAACCCACAGTTCGCCCAGCACAAGGACCACATTGTTGGGGTGACCAGAGTTACCATTGAAGCCATCGAGCTGGACCCTGGCTCCACCTATGAGGCCAGGCTGCGTGTGCAGATGGCCACACTGGAGGGTGATGATGAGGAGGAACGCTACGAAGGCCAGTGGAGCGATTGGAGCCTGCCTGTGTGCTTTCGCTCTCCCCAGAGACGAGGTGTCTACTGTCCTCCAGACTGGGCTGGGACCTGTCTCTGTTCGTGCACCTGTGCCCCCTGCCAGGGCCCCCTTCTTGAGGCCATACTGTCCCAGCTGACTCTTCTCTTAGAGGCTGGCGATGGCACGAGGGCACAGACCCTGGGGTTCCTGGCTTTGTACGGTCGTCTGGAGGCAATGGGGTCCAGGGCCGTCCCCATGCTGCATGCAGCCGTGGCCTCTTTGTGAGGGCTGGGCTGACCCTTGATACGGTGGTCCTGGGGGAGCCCATGGCCTGACCCCAGCTGAATGGCAGCTGAGGAGGTGGAGGCTGGGCTGTGACCCAGCAGGCCTGCCCCAAGCTCTGCACTGGCCCAGTGCTCTGGCACGGCTCGTTGCTCTGGGGGAGGAGAGCTTCCTGGCCAGGAGGCTGCTCACAGTCCTGGGCCCTGCTTGCTCACAGGTCTGCCGATCCCACCCTGGGGGCAGCCAGACAGCGCCCTTGTTGCTGTGTCCATCTTTGTCCTCCTGAGTGGCCTCATCTATCTTCTGTTCAAGCTGTCACCTAGGTAGGAAGGCAGCGTGTGTGCATGTGCAGGTTTCTGGGGGAGTAGGGCATTGGGGCCCTCCCTTCCTCTCCCACCTCTCCCTCTCTCACCTGGATCACACAGGGTCTTCCAGTGTGTCTCCCACCCCTGCCAGACTAGTGGGGGACGGGCTCCCATGTCACAGGAGAGTGAAGGAAAGGTGGTTCTGTGGCAGAGGTTCAATGATGGCATCACCTTGACTCTGAGCAGCTAAGGTGTGACCCAATGACACTGTGGCCCGGGCATCTACTGGGGCTTTGCTGCTTTGTTCCTTTGTTCATACATCTATGAAAAAGCACTTTTGGGTTGTGGTGTTCTCACTATGGACCCCTGTGTCTTAATGGGTGCCTCCTTGGATAAGCCATCAAGCCTCAGGAACATGGTGGTTCTGGGGCCCGTGGACTGTGTCTCGGAGGAGACTGGCAAGGAGAGAGCACAAGAGGCAGTGGACAGAGGGTGTGGGGAGAGCAGTGCTTGGTGGGGTCCAGGAAAGCCCTGGAAGCCCTGTGCCTGGGCACAGCCCCGTCACAGGTTCCCAATGGTCTGACTACCCCCTCTGGCCTCAGGGTAAAGCGAAGCTTTGCTCAAGATGTGCCCAGTCCAGCTGTGTTCTTCCGGCCTCTCTACAGTGTGCACAATGGGAACTTCCAGGTATGTGCAGGGGCGCTGGGGTGAGGGTGCAGGTGTGGCTCAGAGGTCTGGCCTGATCAGCATGTATGCTTGGGGGAGGGTTGGGGCTGGCATGGGAGTCCTGTCCAGAGCTCTGAGCCTTTGTATGAATATGCGTGTGTCCGTGTATTTATATGCATGCACTCGCATGTACACAGGCATGTGTATGTGTATGTATTGGTGTATAATTGTGTGTATGGATATATCTTTGTGTATATATGCATGTAGTATGTATTCACTGTGGCATTCCATGTTGCACTGTCTGAATTGGGCCAAGAAGCATGGCTGATCTCCTTTTTGATTTTGGGCCCTCGGGTCCATTGCTCTTTTCATGGTTCTGTCCTGCTCTACTGCCCAGGGAAATGCTTATTGCAAGATGCAGAAGCTGGATCCTCTTATCCCTTCCTCCTCCTCTTCTTCCTCTAGAGTACTGTGTCCTGTGGCCGTAGAGGGGCCTGTGGGCTTGTGCTGCCTCTGGGACTGTGTCCTGTAGCCATGGAGGAAGGCCTCGAGACTTGTGCAGCCTCTGGTGGCTGCTCTGTGGACTCTGGTCCCTCCTGGTCCCGCTAGGAGTTCCAAGACATCAAGGCCCTTGGGTGGATTCTGTGTCTGTCCCTTGGCAGGGTATCTTGGACTTCCATAGGCCATGCAGTGGTTAGCCCTCACACTTGTCCTGCCTGGGCTTTGAGGAGAAGCTCCCTGAGGACAGGGAAGGGAAGTGGGCTGGGCCCCTCCCCGGTCCCATGCCAAGCTGGCCCTGCTCTTCCCTGTGTAGGTGGGAAGTCTCTGACCACTCTTCTCTGCTCAGGGGAGGCCTTGGCCGCAGGATTGTTGTCCAGTGGTGCAGCATGAAGCCTAGAACTGAGGGCTTGGTCAAGAGCCAGGGCAGCCGAGGGCCAAGGCTTGGGAGTGGCCCTGGCCTTTGTTTCTCTGCAGAGCTGGGGCACCTTTGTCAGTGGTGTGTGCTGTGGCCTGGGCTTCCAGGGAGCGGTGGGTGGCCAGGGTGAGGCACAGAGGCAGTACTTGGTAGAGGCTCATGGTCCCGTCAAGAGACCAGCATCCTTTCGGAGGCATGGCCTTTTACAGCCCCTCTGCAGTGCCCAGGGCTGCTGGCCTGGGCCCAGTCTTTTGACAAGCAGCTGTGTTAACTGTGGGCTTGGGTTGAGGCACTAGTCCCTGCAGCCTGCTGCAGGGAGTTTGCTGTGCCCTTGGCATCTGCCTCTGTCCGTGGTGTGCTTCAGGCTCCTGTGCAGGTCAGACCCCGGGTGAGGGAAGAGTGAGGGGTTTGGAAGGGTTCAGGGTCCCATGGGTAAGACAGTGCTCCAGTACAGGCCCTCTTTGGCCTCTGGGTGTGGTTGACAGGACAGCTCCCTGCAGGCCTGGGAGGCTGGGCCTGCTAAGGAGGAGGCTGCTGCTCCCAGCTGGAGATCTGAACATGACCCAGCATCCTTTGCTTCTCCTGTGCTCTGTTCCAGACCTGGACAGGGGCCCCCAGAACAAGCTGGCAGCTGAGCCAGGACTGTGTCAACACGTTGCAAGGAACCTCAGGCTCCAGTGTCTGGGAGGTCACCACTCTGCTCATGGACAGCCAGAAACAGCCCTGGCAGTCGGTGGGCCTGCAGAGGGAGGAAGGCTCTGGCATTGGCCTTCGGGGGGCCCCAAGCTCAGAGGAGGTGCTACCAGCAGAGTGTGTGGGGTGGAGGGCATGGCCACCTGTATACCTGCCACAGGAGGACTGGGCCCCTGGACTCCCCACTGGACTGGTGGCCCCAGAGTCAGGGGGAGGAAGTGAGTATTGTGCTGTGGGCTGCTCTGGCGACTGCTGCCCCACAGTCCTTGCGGGGGACACTCAGAGCTCTGAGCCTGTGGCGGCTGAGGCCTGCAGCCTTTCCTGGGACCCGCAGGGCTTGGATCCACAACCAGGGCTCCTGTGTGAGAGCCGATTGGAGTGAGGGTAAGACCCTGGCACAGGGTGGCACCACAGTACCTGAGGCTGCTCTGCCATCTGCCTGGTTCCAGGAAATGGGGGTCAGTCCTGGAGTCCCAGCTCTGCCTACTGCATTGTGGTGACAGAGTCTGCCTTTCGTGACAGAATCGGGCTCGAGTCTCTGGAGCTAACTCCTGCTGAGGCCTGGGTCTCCTAGCACAGGCACTTGTGCAGGGATCAGAGGGCTTGTCTGGACCCAGGCAGGAGGCGCTTCCCCATTCCCCTCTGCCCAGGTCTTGTGGGGAGGGCCTCCACCCTCAGACGCTCGCTCAGGTGCTATGGGAGGGGGCTTACACCCTCTGACACTCCTCCTCACCGCTCTACTCCAGTCTTGTGGGGGTCTCCCCACTCAGCATGGACGACCGGCCTCCCTGTACCCTCCCCTCTCTAAGGAGGCAGTGTGGCCCCCTGAGGTGTTGCGCCCCAACCTTTCACTGGACCAGCCTCGGCTCCGTGAACACAGGGAGATGCCCTGAGCAGGTGGAGCGTCCTCTCTGCCTTTCCTGCCTAGACCACAGTGACACCGAAGCTGTTCCAAACTGCAGCTGGTTGGGAGGGCCCAGCCTGGCGTTCCTGGGTATCTCTGGGCACACCAGGACAAAGGCCAGTGAGCAGCTGGCCTTCGCAGTAGTCGACACAGTTGGCTCCTGGAAGCTGAGCGCTGAGGTCACACCTCCCAGCTGGTCAAAACAACAGGGGCAAGCACTGAGGGCCCGGCTTCTGCACCTCACCCTCTCCAGGGATGGTCTGGGCAAAGAGATACTGAGGGAGAAGAATGCACCCTCGGCTGCTGGCACCAAGTGACATAAGCTGACCCACTTGGAGCCTGCCAAGGACTGCCAGCACTGGTCGCCATAGCCGGCCAGCCCAGAAAGTGCCAAGGGTTGCCGGCACCAGGTGCCACAGCTGGCTGGCTTGAAATGCACCAAGGATTGCCGTCATCAGAGGGTGCAGCTGACTAGCTCAGAGCCAGAGATTGTTGTCTTCCAGCTTTGCAGCAGCCAAGTCTGGAAGAGAGGTGTCAGCAGCGCCTGGCTCTCTCTGAGGGCACTGGGCAAGGCTCGGTCCTGGGGTCAGCAGCCTCTGTGGTTTCTGGGCTGTGACAGCAGACACAAACTTCCCCATTTCTTCCTCGTTCCTTCCTTCCCCAGGGACACAACATGGGTGACACAGCATGTGTAACAGCAGGCTGAGCCTGGGCCTCATGAGTTCGTCTTAAGCTGATAGATCTCTGCATCTGAGGGGGAGGTCACACTCATAGGTACAGGTGTGAGGTCTTCTGCATAGAAATTTAGGGCTTGGGCCTGGCACAGTAGCCTAGTGGCTTCAGTCCTCACCTTGCATGCGCTGGGATCCCATATGGGCACCAGTTCATATCCCCGCTTCTCATCCAGCCCCCTAGCTTGTGGCCTGGGAAAGCAATGGAGGATAGCCCAAAACCTTGGGACTCTACCCATGTGGGAGGCCCAGGGAAGACTCCTGGTTTTTGGCTTCAGATCAGCTCAACTCTGGCTGTTGCGGCCACCCTGAACCAGTGGTTGGAAGATCTTTCTGTCTGTCTCTCCTTCTCTCTGTAAATCTGACTTTCCAATAAAATAATCTTAAAAAAAAAATTTCAGAGCTTTATAGGATCCCTACTTCTGCCTGTGCCTTCAGCTCTCTGAGGGCCCCAGGCATTTCAGGCCTTCCCAGGGACCCCAGTTCCCCTCCTGGGTGCCCACAGCAGACCCCACCAGGACCTGGCACTTGGCCTGGGAGGTGGCCTGGAGGAGGTGACCTGGGCCATCTGCCTGGTGAGGGTCCGAAGGTGGGATGAAGTGGAGCTGCTCTCCTTTTAGGTGCTGAGCCTTCTGGGCATCCCATGTTTCCTGACACCTGGGCAGCAGGGGTTACTGATGGCCCTTGGCTCCATAGGCGAGCCCCGCTGGCTCAGTGGTCACCTGCAGAGCCCCTGAGGTTTTGTGGGGCTTGTGTGAAGCTAGACCCTGGCCCATAGGGGTGAGGCAGCCCTAGAGTGTGTTGTTAGCATCCAGAGTGTGCGGGTGGAAGTGAGGGGCAGGCATCCCCTGCTCTAACCAAATGTAAAAATACCAGCGTGAATCTACTTCCTGGAGCCGGCCTCTAGGTAGCCCAGGCTGGTGTATTTATAACTCTGCGTGGCTTCATGAGGGGCCTGGGCCTTTCCCCTGATCTGACAGGTGGCCCCCAGGGCTGAGATGTGTCCTGGCCCTGAGTTCCCCTCCGGGCAGCTGGGCTGTGGCTCAGGGCTGAAGCCTGAGTGTGAAGGTCCGTGCAGGCATCACTCTGTTCTCAGCACACACAGTTCACCCCCTCCTGGCAGAACAGCTGTGCGTTCATCTGAGCAGGATGCCTCCTCAGGGTCATGGTCAGCCAGGGCTCGCGGCTCCTCGCTGAGTGGGATGATCTCGGAAACCCCTGCTGAAGTCTGGGCTACAGCAGGGCTGGGTCCAGAAACCCTGGGACCTGCGAGGCCCTGCTGGTCACTGGGCATCTGAAGCGGTCTCACCTGGATCTTACATGTGGTGTGGCTCTGGGTGTCAGCATCGTGGCTCAGCACATTTGGCCACTGTGTGTGGCACCAGCATCCATTGAGAGCCCTGGTTATCTGACACTAACCAGCATATGAGAGAACCAGGTCTGGGGCAGATTCTGTGGGAGATATGTGGGCCCATCCCTGTGATCTGCAATTCTGCTGGTTTGCTTAACAGATGGGGGTGGTGATGCGCTGACTTAGGCATGACCATGGAACCCTCTGACACTCACGGGTGGTGGGGTTGGGTACAGACTGGGCTAGTCCAGGGTACCGGTTCATGTTTTGGCTGCTCCGCTTTCCATGCAACTCCCTGCCTGTGGCCTGGGAAAGCAATAGAAGACAGCTCAAAGCTTAGGGACCCTGTACTCGCGTGGCAGACCTGGAAGAATTTCCTGGCTCCTTGCTGTGTCTCTGTTAAGCTCTGGCCATTGCAGCCACATAGAGACTGAACCAGTAGACATAAGATTTTTTTGTCTCTGCTTCTCTCTGTAAATCTCACCTTCACTCAGTTACCCATCACCCTTTCCCCGCTTGTCCGTGCCTTGGCCACGCACACCAGCCACTCCTGGAGGCCCACACATCTGCCCTGAGTGTTTGGTGTGTGGTGGTGTGGTGTGGTATGGGGTGGGGTGGTGTCTCAGTGGGTCAAGCCTCAGCCTCCCAGGCAGATGGAGTATATGGCTGCTGTTTCAAATCCTGGTGCTTTCCCTGCAGTCCAACTCCCAGCCGATACTGCTGGTGCCCACTGGAGGGCGCACGTAGCCGCCCTTTCTACCTCTGCTGGGCTCAGGCTTTCTGAGCTCTAGATAGCCCAACCCAAGGCATCCTAGCATCAGGTGGGGGTCCCGGACAGTGTTCCTGGACACGAATGGTAGGAAGATCAGGGGTCCACAGCCAAACGACCCACATACCAAGGCACGGTAGGGGAGGAGGGCACTTGGGCCCTTGTATCAGCTGGGTCTCTGTGATAGGAAGTGGCAGGGTACCTTTAACAGCAAGGTACTACGTCATGGCACCGAGAGAATCCTAGGAGACAGGGTCCCACGTCAGCGACCCCACAGGCCCTCTGGGAGCCGGAGTTACACAGCAGCCGACTAGCGTTGAACTTTGGCAGATGAGGTACCAGAAACCTTACCACCACCACCCTTCCTGGCAGAGCAGAGCACCGTGAGATGCAGGCCTGTGCGTTCTTTAGCAAGTGGAGCAGTGTTGTGGGCTAAGGAGTTGAAAAGCACTCGTTAAGCTCAGCACTACAGTGAGTGGGCTTGGGGCTAGAAGCACCTGGTCTCAGCTGTAGCCAATCTGCACTAATGAGGGTGTAGGGTAAAGAGTAAACAAGAAGCAGCTGAAAGGTCAAGAGAGAAGGGAAGAAAGGTAGGCCTCAGAGAGACTTCCACCATCACTGGTCTCCAGTTGGTGCCTCAATCTCTCAGACCCTTGCCGTGTCCCATGTTCCTGGAGCAGCCGGCCGTAACAGAGCAGCTTCCCGGTGGGCTGCAGAGAGGGCTTCATGTATTTTTACATGTGTGGGGTGGAGTTTAAGAAGGCCGACTCCACTCGGCCTTCCTCTGCCTAGGTGGGTGGTGCCTGGGCATGGGGCTCATAAGCCAGGAGCAGGTGGATGGGTAAGTAGGCACCAGAGGTCACCAGCCATCTGGAATAGGAGGTCCCAGGTCCTAGCTGCTCTGAGAGCACCCTGGAACATGCAGTCCTGCTGCCCAGCAGGTATGATGGTGGCTGGGGAGCCGCCAAGGCCTGCACAACAGAGGGCTTTCAGGGCCTGTGCTCCCTGCACAGGAGAGGGTGCGCAAAGCTGCCCTTTCTACCTCTAGCTAGCACTTGAGGGCTCAGGCATCCCTGTCATGTGCTTTTGAGGCAGGAATTTGACGCCACGGCCTCCAGCCAGATGCTGCTGCCCTCTCGTTCACCAGCGAGTGCTTCACCCTCTTCCAGGGATCATCCTGGACTCAAGACTCTTTCTCCTGCAAGTCGGCTGTGCACCATCGGCCGCTGCTGATGTGCCACCTGCCACAGGACACCCCAACAGCTGACGTCTGTTCTGCACAGAGGTCCTTCTCACCAGGACAGGTAGAGTAGCAACATGCCTGGATTCCTCATCTGTACCGGCCGCTCTCACAGCACGCAACGGCATATGTTGTGCAAACCAGGGAGGCAGGAACCTTCTCCGGTCTTAGTGAAGGAGCTGCTGAAGAAACCGGCAGGGGCTAGAGTCAGGTGGTGTGTAGTGGCGCAGGGTGTTGTCCCAGTGGGTCAAGCCTCAGCCTGCCAGGCAGATGGGCTGTATGGGTGCTGTTTCAAATCCTGGCTGCTTCCCTTGCGGTCCAGCTCCCTGCCGATCAACCTGGGAGAGTAGCAGAGGATGGTTCAGGGGCTTGTGCTGCTGTGCCCCTGTGGAGGATTATCCAGTTAAGCTGTTGCACTGGCCCTGTTGTGTGTTTCAGTTTTGATAACTCATCTGATTCTCATAGTAACTCTGTGAGATAGAAACTGCTCTAGCCCCACTCATTGTACAGTTGAATGAGGGACTAAGAGCAGCTACATAGTAAGTGATGGAGCAAGGATTCTACTTAGACAACCTGACTGCAGTCTATTCTCTTAAATTTTTTTTTACTTAAAGTTACATTGAGAGGGAGAAGCAACGAAAGACACTTTCCAACTGCTGGTTCACTACCCAGATGGCTGCAACGTCCCCAGCTAGACTGTTGAGCAGCTGGGAGCCAGCAGCTTCTTCCAGGTCTACCACGTGGATGTAATGGTCCTGAACCCTGAGCCATTTTCTGCTGCTTTCCCAGGCCATCAGCAGGGAGCAGGATGGGTAGTGGAGCAGCTGGACCCGAAGCAGTGCTCATATGGGATGCCAATGCCACAAGCAGAAGATGAATCCATTAGGCCATTGCACTGTCCAGGATCTAGATTCTACCACACTTGGCAATAGGCACTGAGATTAGCATAACATGTTTTTGTTTATGCAAGTGTAAACAGACATGCTGTACCATCAGTTGGATCAAGGAATAGCATATACCATTGTATATTGTATATGATACTTGATTATAAATAATTTACTGATTATTATTTTGCAGGATAGTGCTGCTTATAAAAATTTGACTGTAAGTGTACCATGTCATGTTTTCCATGCTCTTGACTACATCTGGAGGCCACATACATTGATTGGCCTGTATCACATAGGTCTGTGTACGTACACAGCAGTTGTTGCACAGTGAGGTGTAGCTGTCCTGCAGTGATGGACTTGGTGCACAGAGCCGATAATAACATGCATGGACTCTGACTGATGTTCAAAAGCTGAAGTTTATTAGTGGCATCAGACGTTATAGACTGAGGGTCATGTGCGATAAGGGAGGATGTATTGAGCTTATCAACAAACTCCATCAACTGTTTCTATACTCTTGTTTGGAACTCTTGTTTTGTATATCCCACCAAGTGTTCAAATTCACATGCTGTCCACTCAGCTGTTCTCATACAAATGATATCCATTTAGGTATATGAATGTTACCCACTCCGTTTTTCTCATATAAAGGATATCCAATCAATTGTAATCCTGTGCTCCCTGACCTTTTAGGGTCACAATGTCCTACAATGAGGAAATCCTGTAACTGTTTTCTCTCTGATCTGCCCCTTCAGTTAAGTGACACCAGCATAGTCAGGAGACAGGTTATTGAAGTCTTAGAGTAAGAAGGACATAAAAATGAAAAAAAAACTGAAAGCTTTCAAATTAAATGAAGCTAAACCTACACACCAAGACATGCAAGGAA